ACAATTTCTGAATGTCAAAATGTTTACCAGACTTCATATAGTTTTCAAGATCGACTTCGATCACGAACTTTAGTCTGGTTACGAAGTTGAAATGCGCATGTCTGGTGAAAGAGTAGAGCGAATGTATTTCCGTTTCTGTGTTGGTTTCCGTTATGTTAGAGATCAAACTGAATTCATATAAACCCATCTCTTGATGTGTCACCATCACTATCTCCGTCAAACCGCCATGATCGAACAGTTCTTCTTCGATGCCGAATTGGACACACTAAAATTACCCACTCTTATCTCCTCACGAATGACAATGCCCCTTTCTGTGTAGCTTGTAATGAAAATTTTACTGTCAAGCATTTTCTTCTTGAATGTCATGATTTTTCACAGGCCCGTAATAGATTTTAATGTGTAAATTCACTCAAAGAACGCTTTAATACAATTCCATCAAAAAACATCATTGATTATTTGAAAGAGATAAACTTGCATTCTAGGATCTAATTGGCTCATTTTATTGTCATTTACAAAGTTTAACATAACATTTTAAGCCTATTATAGCATTCGACACGATATGGCCAGTTATAAGTTGACGTGCCGTAAAAATCCAAACAAACAAACAAAATAACAATGAGCAGGGCTGGGAATCAAAACTGCGTCGTATCCTACAAAATGTAAACAAACGCCGCCATCTTGGAACGAAAAACGTATGTTTTTGTTTATAACTCTTTTTGTTGGAAATGACTGAAAACAAGATAACACGCTACTCTATTTTCCGCTTCGTTCGGTATATGTTGCTTGCACAACTATTTTGTAAAACAAAAGTTATAGCGAACTTGCAATTCGAAGCGAGGCAGAATTTTTATGAAAATGTGTGGATACGACGCAGTTCATATTTCTTTATCTATCGTTTTTTCCTTCAAATCAATTATATATTTGTTTCAGAGTTCACCATAAACTTCGAAATATAATTTTGCATCATTTACTAAAATTTTATTAAAAGAGATGTTTATTTTCTAAGAAAATAATGATTTTTACGAAATGATACGACGCAGTTGGAAATAAAATATGATACGACGCAGTTGTATTTTTGGCAGTCTTTTCAACAGGGATAAGTTTGGCAATATATTTCTATTTTATGGAATAATCACTTGCGCTAGATAAAAACCCAGATCATTTGCGGTGTAAAGCAATGTTCTGTTGATTATTTAGAATACAATGTGTCATATCCAATATAACGTTTAATTTGAAAGTTTACATTGCGGAAGCTACTTTTCAGTTAAACATGAACATGTTACCTTATTGATCATAATATCTGAAATAATTTCTTATGTTTTCCTGTATGTTCAATATTATCCCTAATTTTTTTCGCAAAAAAAATGTAGAAATCTATTAACTGAAATTCATTTTGGCTAGCTACGCTCTAAGTTAACTGTGGTTCTGCATGTTCTGGGTATTGACTGCTTTTTTGTGGTTTCTTTTCAAACTTTCACTCTACACATTAGCTTTACTAGGGGCGAGGACCTCAGGTGCCTCTGTGCATTATTTCAGGCAAAATGTTGTACCTGCAGGTAACCGTCGACATTTTGAAACTAGCTTGATAGGTTTTCCACACAAAAGAATAAAAAGTCCCTGGTGGTTTTCGAATTCATAGCAGTTCAGTTCAAGTGATTTGAATTCAGTAAACATAAACAGCTCGGCCTCGGTCGGACACACCTGTCTGATTTGTTTTTTCAACAAAGTTTGTTAACGTCATCTGTACAAATAAGCAGCTTTTTTTATTAACTTCTGACGTGAAGTTTTAAGATTAAAAATAATTGAATTAATTATAAAGAGAATAAAATTTAAATTTCTTATTTCGGTATTAATAGCAGAGAAATTTTCAATGTGAACAGGGGGTAATCCTCTGTGAAGTCATTTTCTGAAAACTTTTGTTTAAGTTTTCAGGCAATTCATTATCAAATAAAAATCACACTTTAGTATGAAGGTATGTTAAGATGCCATGTCTCTAGTCTGTTGAAAATTCGATACGATAATCTGACATTTTCTGTTCAATATTGTGAAAACTTAATAATTCTTCAATACTGTTGAAAGATCATGTCTGCCTATATCTGTATCAAATTTATCGGTGCATAGCGTAAAATACCTTTGCAAAACGTACACCTTTTTACAAAATAATTTGTAGTTGTATCATATGTAACTCGATTTTGAAAAGTTTTTTGATGGAGAAGAATGATACTCAAGTGCAAGTACAAATGAAGTATAGAAAATACATTCCGTAGACATTTCCTCATCGGCGATAAAGAAACGCAGGGGTAAAGTTCCGCGGCGCTGAACATAAAATGACTAAACGGAACGCATAACCTACTTGCAAAAATATATTGTAGCTTAACCATTTATAATATTATTTTAAAAATTTAATGTTCAGTTTCAAATAATAAAGCTCACCTGTCCTCGTCAATTATTAAGAAAATGAATACAATAAAATTGGCACGTAAAAGACAAAAGTAATAACGGAATTGACGGAAATTATTGCTCATTACAAGTAACAACGGTAGGCATGCAATTTGCGCATTCCCGATAGCGAGAGACCTTTTCAAAATTTGTAATTTTTTCTCTTTTTTTAAGAAAAAAGTCATTCCTGATTAATACAGGGTCCAGTGGAGGTTACACTGGAATATTGAATTTTGTATCAAAAATAGTAATCACTCCCATTTCGAACTCACGTGAACAAGTTTATTAGCATGCTAAGGCAACAGTAGAACACGTTGTCATATGGGTGTGCGATCACGTGTTTCAATGTATATTGCATTTGATACAGCTTTTCGGAATTTGTAGATGATTATGATTAGTACTAAAATGCGACCGAAAAATGCAGCCTTAATAGAATTGTATTACATTTCCATTTTTATGAAACCAATTAGTGACCTCTGCTTTTGACTTAAGTTGTAAACAAGAAATGTTGTAGGACGTTATTGGCATACCTAGCGCATAATTTAAATAGTTTAACCAATATTCAGCCTGCAATGAAAATACAACTGCGTCGTATCATATTTTATTTTCAACAGCGTCGTATCATTTCGTAAAAATCATTATTTTCTTGGAAAATAAACATCTCTTTTAAATGAAAGTTTAGTAAATGATGCAAAATTATGTTTTGACGTTTATGGTGAACTCTGAAAACGAGTATATAATTGATTTGAAGGAAAAACGATAGATAAAGAAATATGAACTGCGTCGTATCCACACATTTTCATAAAAATTCTGCCTCGCTTCGAGTTGCAAGTTCGCTATAACTTTTGTTTTACAAAATAGTTGTGCAAGCAACATATACCGAACGAAGCGGAAAAAAGTGTAGCGTGTTAATACATATATCTTGTTTTCAGTCATTTCCAACAAAAAGAGTTATAAACAAAAACATACATTTGTTCGCTCCAAGATGGCGGCGTTTGTTTACATTTTGTAGGATACGACGCAGTTTTGATTCCCAGCCCTGATGAGGTTCACATTATATATCTTTTCCGCCATTTTTGAACTTCAGGACAATCAAAAAATTAATGTGAAAATGTGATCATCATACTCGATTGTTTCTTTTTTATAGTAGAAAAACATTTGACATATTTCATATTTAAACTAATTCTATTTAAGGTATTCCGACTCTAATAGTGAGGTTTTTGAAACTGCAAATGGTTATTATTTATAGCAAGTATATGCTATAACTCATTTATTTTCAAGTTTTCAGTCAGATTTACCGTCTGATTTAAATTTTATACAAAATTGAAGTTTACAACCCTTGATCGCCAGATTGACCCAAAAGTCCGAGCACCCTGCCAGACAAAAAGAAGTAATTTTTCTTATAAAAAATGAAAAAATAAAACAAAACATATATATGTGTGTTGGTTTTTAATTGTACATCACAAATAAATAAGAAAAATATGCACCAAATATAGTATACAGTATTAAAATGTTTAAAATGTTGCAGCTCGGGTTTGGAAAAAGGAGAAAAAACACGAAAGTTAAAAACAATACATCTATGTTTTTTACCTATATTACTCTGAAAAATATTAGTGCAACACATTTTAAGGACATAGAAATTATCTAGAACACCTAATGAATAAAATAGCAGATAATCAAAAACTTTTACCGTACTGATTGTGAAGAATTCAAGTTTGAAGTTCACAACCCACCATTTTATTTTCAAGCACTTTTCAAAAATCCAACTAATTAAAGTTTGTTAAATTTCTCAATATTATTATTTTAGGCAAAGTAACCTTAAAATGAAGATAGCATATGCCAGACAAGATAACTATGATTAAAGAAGTAAATTAAAAACAAAAAAATATGAAATTTGAAGAAAATGTGCCTTTTTATGATTTCGATATCAACTACATTCTACTGGCCAAGGCTAAAAAACTTCAAATTTTTATGTCACAAGAAGTTTCAGTTAATTGTCTTAACCCTTTCCCCCATGAGCATATTGTGAAAAATGGCCATTTTCACTGAAAAGCCTCCTCTTACAAGTTCAAACTGCTATGAAACTATGAAAAATGCTTCAATACTGATCAAACTTGGCACAAATGTTGACTGGACCATTGCCTTTGTAACGACATGCTCAGTCTTAAATTTCCTGTTACCATGGCAACGAGGGGACATCTCAAAATTGCCAAAAATCACTTTTTTGCCTCGATTTTTTCCATCAAAATTAACTTCAAAATGCTGCAACTTCTCAAGGGATTGAGATAGAGTCAAAGGCTTTTCAGCGTTGGTTACACGTTACCTTATGATCAACCTGGGGTCATTTTAAGCCTCTCACAAGTCCAAAATTTTCTTGGCGATGAGGGGGACTCCGCCCCCCTTCAAACCCCCCAAACAGACACTTTTTTTAACAACATTTCTCAAACGGAAAACAGTGTTTGTGGTCTAAATAGGACATTTTTTCACTGTTTGAGGCCTCAAAAAGGGGGGGGGGGGCAAAAAGCCGTCGAAACACGCTTATATAAGGGAAAAGGTTAATCAATCCAATAACTCTTTCTTATAAAATTTATGACAAAATTTATCATTTACATGAGCAAAAAGTCCAATAAACACAGATTATCTGTGTTTTTGACTTAGACTATTTCAGATTTAGACCAATGCCCGATCACTTATAATTATCCAATCAATAGATATTTTATAATATTATCAAACACTAATAATTTGTGAATGCTTTTGCAAATACAAGGTACTTTTCTCAGTTCCATAACACTTATAAGTGTTTTATCATTACATATGATAAATGTTTGAACATAATTCTTAAATTGAAATTGTTTTTTTACAAGACTACATATACAGGATGCAAGTGTACATGTTATTTCTTACAAGAAAAATGGAAAGTTATTGTGTTACAATCAATTAAAAAAAACCTAAACAGTTACATTCCATTTATAACAAAACTGAACAATGTTGTTAAACTATTTTCACATTCACCAAAATTAAAGTTTCTTTTCTTTGAAAAACTCTACTAGTTTAGGGATCACAGAATCTAAAATCCGTTTCGCTGCCGTAACACGCGGTTGGCCCTCACTGTTTTTCATTATGAAAGTATTTGTAAGGCCATCCTCTCCATCACGCTTGTATATAGCTTCAAGGTGTTGCAAGTTCAAACCAGACCCTGCTATATTTTCAGCCGTAGGTGCTTTGCATATGGATTTGTATAAAAGCACTGACAATGATGGAAGATTTTTGGCTTTCTCCTTGTTGAACAACATGTTCTTACAAACTGCACTTACACTAAAACTTTGAGTCAATACTGTCTTGTTGTCAACGTCCAAATGGGAAATAAGACTGCCCAAAGCGTGCACGTCTTCTGCAGCATCATGTGCCCCATATGAGGTGTTCAAAATGTCATGTACCAGGTCTTCCTGCTTGTATGACTTCCTTCCTGGAATCACCTTCCGGAATAGTGAAAGAGAATCAACCAGTGCTTTTGTTCCGTCAACAAACATATCATATACACCTGCACAGTTCAATGCATTTACAATTACCGGAAAATCGAATTTTTTACCATTGTGTGCAACTAGAACACAGTTTGGAATTTTCTTCACCCAGGCAGTAAATAGTTGTAGGGCCGACTTTATATCTGTTGCTTCTACCGGTTGTCCAAGATGTAATAGACGGTCGCCATCAACTGAGAGGCCAGTGACTTGCCTAGCCCCAGCAGATATGGGTTCTGTCGGTAGAACATACTGAGAAAATGTACGGGTTCCAGCCAAATCTGACGCTGCTATCTGCGTTATCTGTGGCAGGCAATGTCCACGAACTGTAAAAAAAATCATTTGGTTTCATTTCGGTGAATATCATTTACTGACAATAAATATATTGCAATATGTGTGTTTTAGAAGAGTTGCTAGTACTAGTTAGCACTAAATACATAACAAAACTGTGCACCTTAGCACTAAATACATAACAAAACTCTGCATCTAAGTTGCCGCCAATAAAAGCTAGAGTAGTAAACTATTTCATTTACACTTTAGAGTAGTAAACTTTTACATTTGCATTATCATAAACTATTTCTTACTAAGGTCTGTCGTCTCCAGATCAAACGTCACCAATGTCGGGTTTGTGAGCTGAATAGGTTTGAAGTCTCCTTTGGGTATTGGGGCTGGAATAGCCTCTATATCTGCATTGGTCTCATGGCCAATTCCTAAAAATCAATCACACAAATGATAAACATTTTTGTCTGGTCTTACCGGACAATTTGTCATAATGTATCAAGTTTTAAATTAATGAAACTTGCAAACATAAACATTATTTTTCATCCTTGATCAAATCTATATGGTATATATTATTATACTATATTAGTAAAATATTATATAGATAAAGCTGCCAGAACACAAATTTTACTAACCAGACTGATAAGAGACTCCTTCCAACACCTCCTGGGCACCCTGGTTCACCGCCCGCTCTTAAAAATAGATTGCACTTTTTATAGTTGCTTAAATATAATTTAACATTCAATTGTCTTTCAAGCCAGTTCTTCCTGAAATTCTCAAATGGTTTAAATAAATCATTGTTAGACCAATAAAGTTCACATTACAACGTTTAATGCTGTAGCATAATTTATTTCGGAAAAATCTTGACGCATGGCCTTCAAAACCCAGATCTAGAAGTTTTAGATTGTTAAAATTATCTGTATTTGACAAGTTTGATATGAAAATAAATAGATGCTCATCGATGCCTTAATGAAATTGTGTTGTTACATAGTTAACATATGGAACAAGGATTTTCTTTTCATAAGCGAGCTTTTATTCGAAATAAAATTATTGGAAACGTGTGTGTTCTGTTTATTTGAAAATCAACTATTACATTTCCCAGTTTTTTTTACTTAAAACATTTTGTTATCTTTAAATCAAAGCACTTAGAACCGTGTTCAGGGATAAGAATCAAAGAGAGAAACATATGAGCCGCGTCATGACAAAACCAACATAATGGGTTTGCGACCAGCATGGATCCAGACCAGCCTGCGCATCCGCGCAGTCTGATAAGGATCCATGCTGTTCACTATCAGTTTCTCTACTTGTTATAGGGTTTGTAAGCGAACAGCATGTATCCTGATCAGACTGTGCGGATGCGCAGTTTTTGAACATAAAAAAACAATCGATGTATTTTAAAAAAACATGGTATCTTTATGAAATTTGCAAATTTGATATTCTCTTGTGTCACTTTAAATTTCTTTTTGATATACGTCGATAGCCACTTTCCATTTATTCCAGACAAATATTTCAATGTTTGACCTATTTCTATTCTATTCATAAAATAGAAATAAAGGATATTAAAGGAACTCAATTCAGCAGAAAACCAATTTACTTGACGTCAAATTATCTGTTGACGTCATATCAAGTACTGCATTATATTCTTTTTATGGCATTCACGTTTGTTTACATTTTTTGTTGGCCAGGAATGAGGTAAATATATATGTATGAATACAAATCCAAAGCCACGTGCTTATGTTACACAAATTCATCTCATGTTTAGTTGTGCAATCAACTAATTGTAAAAACTATTCATTTGTAAGGTATAATAATAGACAAAAAAATGCTCACAATTAAAGGAACACAGAAGAACCCCTTGTAGTATACTGTAGCTAAAAGTTACGTAACATCAAAAGTCAATCGTATGTATCTACAAAAGATTATTTAGATTTTTTTTTAAATTGAAAGTGAATCGAGAATCTTACAACATAAATGAAATGTGATAAAGAAAACACATGCATACATGTTAAAAAAATTTAATGACCTTTTAAACATTAAAGCATTTTGCATTGCAGTTAAGGAAAACAAAACATAAGGATCGGCTGAACAGAACAAGAAAACATGCAAAGGGTAAAGTCCCTAAAATCTACAAAAAAAAGCAAAAACAAAAGAAATTGACATAATCAAGCAAATTGAATTTTCATAACAAAGAATATAGATTGTTTTGAATTTTAATAACAAAGAATACAGTATTGTAAACAACAATGTCGAATTACATGTAGTTCCTTTGTTGCTAACATTATCATTTTACGACCTTTGCGTGTCAGCTAAATACTCGTTTAACGCACGTCATATTTACTTTTGAACAAAAGAAATCAATGACAAAGTATAATCACATTACGTAATGCTTCCCTCAGATTTCATATCTCAAAGCTGCAAAGCTTTTGACGGACATATAAAACAATAATCTGACACAAAGCCCTAATCGAAACTCCCAGAACGAAAGGTTTTAATATGGAAAGCGATTTTTTTTATTCTAAACATTTTCATCGGTTTCATTTCGTAGTTGTATAAATTGCTTTTTTATCAAAATTTATAACATGGTAACGTGTATTAATAACGCATTTTCTCAAAATTAAAAAAGTTTTAAATATTTTGTCAAATCATATTTATCTTAATTATAAAATAAATTTAAGTGAATAAAAATAATACATTTATATATACATGTAATAACTGTCTTTAAGTAAAATAATACATTAAAATGATCTTCATTATAAGCAATTTAAATTACTTTCTTTATATATTAACATTTACTGAACATTTAATATGTTATGATAAAAGCTTTAAAAAATTCAATTAAGAATAAGTGTCGGATTTTTTCCCAATCATTTACGTGTTTAAAGAAATTTTTCGTGACACTGAAAATTTTCTTGAATTTAGGAAATACTCGGTTAGCCGTGACATAACTTAAAGAGAAAAATGTTTTACAGTTTAGCTTTACGGAATAAGTGGTTCAATCGAACTTACATATGATACCGGTACTTCCATCTTTAACACAGTCTCCGACAACTATATATAATAATAATAAAGTGTTGGCAAAGTGCAGAAATCGCTTGTCTAAATATTTGCTAAAAAAGTACTGCTCATTGATATTAGTATTGTTTGATTTTATTAACCTGTCAATTCCATACTGATTATACGGTCAATATACAGAATGTATTAATATTCGATAAATGTTCGGTAAATTCCGTGAGATGTGCGCAGTAAGATGTGATTAAATTCATCTTGTTATTTTGAATTAGTTACACTGACCGTTATAGTGCAATAGGGTAAACCACTGGTATATTTTATCTGAACGTTCAACGTGTTGTAGGATCGAGACAGAGTATGTCCAGTATATTTTTTATTAATAACTATTTTCAACATGTTTTTTAAGTTATGGTTGTTCCGTTTTTAATATGCTTTGCACCTTTTTGTAAATACTATACATTTGTATATATAAATGTTTAAGAATTAATACTGAAAATTCATTCCGATTAAAATCAATAAATGTAATTATACAATATAAAATGTGACAATTCAGTGTTTCTTAGTTGGTTCATATCCGTGTAGACAAAGTGCAAGCGCTTGATCATTTTCATTAAAATATACTCAAAAATAAAAGAAAGAATAAGTCTAAAAAGAATGTCAAAAAAGGGGATCGAACCTCGGACCCATCATGCATTAGGTAATCACTTAACCGACTGTGCTATTGCGGATGTTACAAGAACCTACATTAATCTAGTGAGAGTTTTCCAAACGTAAGTGATACACTCAATATTAATTCTCGTAAAATAAACGAAAAAACCCGAAGTGGGATCGAATATGTAAATGAGTGCTATAATGTATTCATAATTGACAGGTCAATAAAATCAGACTATAATAGTATGTGTTGCCTTAATAATGCTCAATAGCATAAATAAAATAAAGCCTAAACAAGACTAGTGATATGAATTATCATCATTTTTCTTGGACAATACTGCTTCTTTATTAAAAAAAAGTTAAAAATTAATCATTGAAAGTGAAACACAAATATCAATGAAAGAGAGACACAAATTATTGATTTTGCATTTCTTTGTCTTCGACCGAAAATTCTAAAGGAACAAAAGACCGTTAAACACGGCAATATTACAATGTTTTATGGCCTTAACGACACTGACCAATGCAAGCTACGATAATTGCTCCCTTATACCGGCTTTAGCTGAAATTAATGTTCCGACTGTTTCTATATTTATTTCTAAATGTTATTTCTTAATAAGACATGTACGTGTTTAAGGAAACTATTCGTGAAGTAGAACTTTTTTTCGTGAATGTTGGGAATGTTATTCAATTAGACGTTATATAACTCAAAATTTAGTCTAGAGTTACAGAAGTGATTCAATCGAACCAGTAAATATAATACTTTCTTATTTAACACTGTCTCGGACAATTGTAGGCCAACAAACCAGAACCTATATCGATCGTCTCCGGGCATTATAATGGTAATGTGTGTCATTTCTTAAGAGATTGACTGATATAGTTTCGCAATTCTGTCTGATCGCAAGCAATTTATTAAGACATATTAATGTCTGTTAAAAGACACTTTGATCAAACTTTTTAATTTAAGTCTTTAATTTTGGTTAATATTGTCCTTTTACCGATTGTCAGTACTAAAATTATGCAGAAAACGAAGGAAGACAATTTATATACTTATTTCATATTATAACATGTTAATATAGTTCTTATTCTATAAAAATAATTCATTTATTTTAACTGTTGAATTGGTGCAAATTGTTTGATGCTGATTGTAATTAATATCGATTACAATGTTGTATTGATAACATGAAAAAATAAATATTGTTTAAACCATTATGTTTTCACTTTTAAAATATGGCACAGTTTTTGTTGTATTTTTATCTGCATATAACAAAGCGCATTGCCTTAAACTGTTGTTATAACTTTGTATAGCTTTCCTTAAAAGGTCAGCAAATGCTGTTAGACAATCTATGAATAATCAACAATATCTTACTCGCACTGCACTTATCTCAACTTTTCCTCATATAACAATATTCATAGGAAATCGTAAAGAATCGCGAACAATACTGTTTCGGGATCGTTCTGTTAGAATTAAAATTGGACAACAACATAGAGTTACTAACAGTTTAATGTCGAGCTATCTTCCGTAAGGTCGGTAGTTCTACTTGAAATAATGCATGAAGGAGCGTCTGAGGTTTTCCTCGAAAGTGGCCTGACCTTTACAGTGTCAGTGTGATTTAAAAATCAGGGGGCGTGGATGGCAGTTTGCACTTGACAGTACCGTCCATGCACAGGCTCAATCAAACCGAGCCTGCAACAATTTCAATTTTGCCGTCTTGGTTGCGTTCATTGAACGCTGCCTTTCCTTGTTGATCTTGTTTATCATATCTTCTTTAGGGATTGTTATTTTCTCTATTTTATCGCCACATCAGCGTTGTTTGTGCCATGTGGAGGCTGTAAAAAGTCGCCCCGTACATTCAATTAGAGAAGACTTATTGATATTTATATCTGTAACTGGAGACAAGATGTAAATAATAAAAGCTCACTCTCTTTGTTTAAAGAATTAAAAATAACTTTGAATTACCAAATTATTTAAATAAAATGTTTTGCACTGAGAAATACAATAGCTAAACTAAGATTGTCTTCGCACCGTTTAAATATAGAGACTGGCAGACATAGAAACATTGTGAGATCGGAAAGAAAATGTACATTTTGCAACCTTGACGACAAAGAAGATGAAAACCATTTTGTTTTAATTTGTCCTTCTTATTCAGATTAAAGAAAATTGAGTATACCACGTTATTACTATAGGCATCCCAGTATGGTTAAATTTACTGATCTGTTAAATACATGTAATACAAATACTTTGAATAGATTAGCAATATTTTGTAATAAAGCATTTAGTATTAGAAATGAAAATTTGAATAATGTATATGACTAGTATGATAATATCAAATGTTAAATTTGTATGCTTGTATTTTCACTCTCGCTGTATTTAATATATGCTGTATATTTGTGTAATGACGAGCGACTGTTATGTTCAAGTCATATTGAATAATAATATCTGTTCTGTTCTGTTCAATCAGAGATATATATTTGATCCTGAAAGATCGTTCAGCACGACATTATTGTTGTGCTTGTGGTAAGTTAGTTCTTTCTTTTCGTTTTTTTTTCATGTTTGGTGGTTCCAGTATTCCTCTCTTGAATACTTTTGAATCACCATTAGGATATGTGGCCTTGTCTTTTGACGTCTTATCTGTGATATGCAGGCTTCATAACCTCTGATCCCCTTTCAAATTCCATTTTATTTAGTTCCGCCCATTGTTCACTCGTTTAGGGCACACGCATGATTTTTACTTGGGGACTATATGCCGCTTTTCATGAAATGGCACTTACGAGTCACATTGAAGGTTTCATGATAACCGCCATATGAACACATCTGCGGATGTTTCAAAATTCAAAATTGTACCAGTTCATGTTAAATGTTGAATTCTACTTAAGCCGGTGCTAAGGGGCGTGGATGGTAGTTTGCACTAGACAGTACCGTCCATGAACAGGCTCAATCAAACCGAGCCTGCAACATTTTCAA